ACAAAAGGCAGAACTATGTAGCACTTTAAAGACTAACAAGATGGTTTATTAGGTGATAAAATCTCTCTGGCCCACGAAAGCTTAACTCCAGACTTCAAAGAGAAGCTTCAGAATTGTCATTCACGCTTAAATTTGACACTTTATGTATGGGTCTCAACAAAGATGCTAATTATCTCACCCATTACAAAGATAGCTTCTCCAATTATCACCCCTAATGTCATTACCTCACAGACACTAACCTTACCCCCTCATCCCCACTCTGTTCTAAAATTTGATTTGTCAATTTTATGTGTTCTCTTTTTTTGATTGTATCACTTTGGTATTTATGGTGGTGCCAATTTTCTTCCGCAAATTGATCTGAGGAAGGCCCATGAAAGCTCATCACCTAATAAACCATCTTGTTAGTCTTTAAAGTGCTACATAGTAGTCTGTCAAGATTGCTAAATACATGAATTACAGAAGATGACATCGCAAAGGTTTGCTTACAAAAAGACTTATTACCCACGTCTCAAAAACTACAAGTCCTTCCAGAGAAGAGTCTCCAATGAGATGCTCGCAGATAGGCAATCCATTAAAGACAAACAGTTAAAATAATTTCCCTATGTTGCATAGATAAAGTTGGCAATTATACACCACGTGGATCACTGATGACTGCCTATTCTGTTCATTCCCTTCATGGCATCCTCCATTGGCCTCTGTTGGAAGACAGGATACTGGGCTAGATGGACCTTTGGTCTGACCCAGTATGGCTGTTCTTATGTTCTTAATAATTTCCACAGGGAGGGCTTAAAGTTACTGAGCTCTGCTCTGGGCTTCCTGGAGTCAGCCATTGATCAGTTTCAGCAGCAGCTGACTTGGGGGTGCCTGGGGCAGAGCAGCTGGGGTGCTGCTGGGTTGGTCCCGTAGCGCCCCCCCCAGCACCCCCCCAGCTGCTCTGCCTCCGGCTTCCCCGATTCAGCTGCTGGTCAGTTTCAGCAGCGGCTGAATCAGGGAAGCCAGGCGCAGAGCAGCTCCAGTTGTCCGGCAGCTGGAGCACCTCCGGGTTCCTGATGCTGCCGGACCATCAGGAGTGCCGGAGCATTGGATGCTGGACCAATGGAGTTTTACTGTAGTTTCTTTTGAATAAGAACTACACAAAATGTAAGAGAGAAACAAAAAGATGACAAAATAAGAAAACAAAATAAAGTTAATACCTGTTCTTTTTGTTATAAAGGCCATTATTTGGGGGAAGTTGTTTACATAGGCCCTTATTCAATACCCATTAATGTCAACAGAAAAATTTTCTGACTTTAGTTGGTACTATATGAGACTCACAGTATAAATGAAGGTATAAATACAAGGAAAGTGTGTGTCAATGAACAAAAAATTGGTTGTCAGTAACAGAAGAGCATAGAAACTGCCATGGATTTTTTAACCTGTACTTTACAATCTCTTTGCAGGATAGGCACAAGATGGTACTTGCAAAATTTTATTTTTGATTATTAAAGATGCTTACTTTTATGAGGACACAAATCTGCATGTTAGCACCTGCTCAAAATATACTGTGAGAAAATGTAGCTGTATGAAGACTGCACATGAATTTACTATATACCAACTAGAATGTCATGGATAATTTGTATGAATTTGGCATGCAACTTAAGCCCTGCATTTTCCCTCTACCTCGGTTAGTTTCAATACTTTCTTACTTTCCATCTTGGCCAAAATATTTTGAGATGAGCAAAACTTGGCTAAATGAGAAGAGGAGGACACAATAATAGCCTATAAATGTATGAAGGCCATAAAAACTAAGAAAGATAATGAGTTATTTAGGGTGGTACAAAAGGATGTAAGGAGGAGTAATAGAGAAAAAATTACAAAGAGAAATTTTGTATCGACTACCAGAAAAAATAAGAATAAAGACCATGGTATTTGACTATGACAATCTCCAGGGAAAAGTGGAAGCCCTATTAATTAGGACATTTAAAACTATAAAGAACTAAATTCTAGAAAATATATCGAAAATGAAAATCCTGCCTCGGTAGAGAACTGTTCTGGCTGACCTACTACGTCTTCTCAGTTTCCAACGACTGCTGGGGAGGTATAAAAATATAATTCACTCAGGACTTCAATGCTCATGAGTTTTGCTGTAAACTCGTCTTTACGGTGTAGAATACCATGACTGGCATTCACAAAATATAGTATCCCCTTCCCTTTATAAACTATAAGCGATTCACTAAAATATATAAACCGGGCATAAATAAAGCCTCATCTTGGGTAAATTCATGTTTTTATTTAGTACACCGGCACATGTTCTTAATTATTAATTAGATATTCAATGAAGAGCATCTGGTTTTCTAAGACACTTTTACAATAATCAAAGTAGTCAGATCCATAGCAAAAGAATCATATAAATGATTTTAAGGGGACCTATACCTGAGATTTTGGAGAAGGAACGTAACTGGGATAAGGAGGACAGGAGATATCCTTCCTTTAAAGCTGCAGAATTACAAATGGCACCTGAAACCCAAAACAAACCGCTATGGGCAGGACTAAAAGCTACAACAAAAACAATAACCAGTTGTATAACAAACTTGAACTTTGAGTTCATTCTGGGTATTTTAAATAAAGGAAATCTGAATTCCCTTCACAACGGAATTGGAATTTTTAGAAGGTATTGTTTAAAATAAACATACCAAAACACATCTTGTAAAAAACATTAAATGGATGTGACAGCCCGAGAGCAAAGACCTCTATTTTTTCACTGAACTGGCACAACACAGGCAGTTACAACTTAAGCTGCCATATATTTATTTGCCCACAAGCCTCAAGCCTGACTTGGAGGATCATATCTGGGAGTCCCAGATTAGTTCCTTCTTTAAAGTTCATTCAGTCCTTGGACCCTCCATTAAAATTGCCAATGACAGTACCAATTAAGGTTTCCATTTTACAGACATGTCCACTGGGAACTGGACTGAAACCAACAACTTGTTTTTCAGAGGTCAATGAACAGCCATCAGACAGCAACAATTCTCAGCTACTACTGATCTCTATTAGATCTGAATCATTGAGTTTGATGTGAAATGATGCTTATCTCAATAGTGTGAGCCATTCATTTCTCCCACCATTAATTTTAATTAAAGAATCAATTTTTCTACATGATTTATCTTGTACATAATATGGAAAAATAAATAATGCAACTGATTCGCTGCAGTTCTGTGACATGAGCAGTAACATGGTATGAGAATGATTTTGTCTGGTCCTTCAGTTTAGATGTGGAGTAGGGTAGCAACATTTATCATGAATAACTCACAGGAAGTTCTGTCAGAGCTAAATTAAGACACAGTCTATTTAGTTGGATCTACTCATTCAATCTGCTGACTAAACAGATTCAAAGACAGATAAGCTTTATGGAATGGAAAATTTACTGTAATGTAGAAAAGAATGAAGTTTTCACCAGATATGTTAGGATTGAAGGAAGAAAGGAAACTCCAGTTTCAGCTTACTCATGAAAAGGGAACACACTGACTGTTTGCAGGAGCCTCTGACTTCTGAAAAATTGAAATTTTCAATTGATCAACACAGCTGATACTTTCCATTTGAGTACTATGCTATAAAAAGATTTCAGGAATCAGAGATGAAGGAATTGAACATGCCAAACAAAGTATTAATAAACATGCATACCAGGAAAAACGCATACACTGTTTTGTATGTTGAGTATTTTGAATATTTGCAACTTTATAAACTACTAAAAATGAATTAAATATACTGGATTGATTCTTGACTAAGAATTGTTTGACTCCAATAAAATATTTCCTAAAAAAATGATGTCTCTGTTTTGAGCTAAACACAGGTACTTAAGGTTTTAATTCCTACTGTACTTAAAAATTCACTTGTCACATACTGCTAATTGGAAGTATCAGGTAAAGTAATATAGGCCAAGTACACTGGCACTTTACAACGCTGTATCTTTCTGGCTCAGGGGTATAAAACCTTCCCGGCATACCCACTAACCTCTGATCGCAGCAAGTTACAGAGCTAACAAATGTCAGTGTGAACCAAACTACAGTGCTGGGATCCACGTTCCCAATGCTGTTCGTTACTCCCCTCAAACATCATGCCATGACCACTCTTTCAGTTTAAAGCACTGTCGTGGCTGTACTTTAAATTGTTGTGTGTAGACAAAGCCATAGTATCTGCAACATGTGAAATATTCATGTCAAATATAATATCAAGGTCAATATATTTTAGGGATGTAAAAGAGTAGTTGATTAGTCGAACACCCAATAAGCCTAAGCTTACTAGATAGTCAAGTCGACTACTCGCACTTCCCCCAACATTGCTGCATCTATGTCAGAGGACACTGTGCTGGGGGAAGCCTGTTCCCCTTAAAAGCCAGTTCCCTCCCCCCCCCCACCACAGTCTCTGCGGTGAGGGAAGGTGGGAGAGGGAGGGACTAGGGAAGTAGAGGTGCAGCAGCTCTGCCTTTTAAATGTGTTAACACCCAGGTGGCTCTTGCTACATTTAAAAGGCAAAGGTGCAGTGGTTTGGACTTGGCGCAAGCCGGGACTTCTTCTGTCACAGCTCATGTCAGGTCCCAGACGTACCCCAGCTGTGACTCTGCAATTTAAATATAGTAGGAGCTGGGCTGCCTGCAGAGCCATAGCAGCCTCTTAATAACTAATTGTGCACTAGATACAAATTGTACCAAGTACATGATTAGTCATTTACTTGCTACTTAACATCCTTAATATATTTAACTAAGTGTAAGTGATATAAATCCTCAACCTTCCTGAGGAACTTCTGGCAAGTGTCAAATACAATATATTTGGCCAGCAGAACCACAGGGTTTGATCAAGATTGTCAATTCCTGTGTCTTTGCATTCTTAGGACATTTCATAGAATTGCTGTGTCTGCAACCAGACAGGTAACTGGAAATTAAAGTTAAACAGTAAAATCACAACAGTTTCCATATGTCTGACTTTTCTATTTTAAATTTCAGCTTACATTAGTCTTGTACTTACTGTGGTCTCCATCCTTAGTAGATATGCACTCTTTTATAGACTCTGTTATTCCAAGGCTGGCAGCAGTAGGAAGTGGACCAAGGAGAGATTCTAATGCAGGTGGCCATACAGGGGCATCATTTCCATCCTTGCAGTCCCTCCCTTCATTTTTCTTTAATCTATCTTTATTGAGAAGTTCATTATAAAAGTCCTTGTTTAAATGATTAGCAGCTGCTTCTAGTTCTTCATCTTGTGCCTCTTCCTCTCCACATACACTAGCACTATTATCTTCTATAGATTCTTTAAAAAGAAAAAAAAACAAATAACTTCATGCCATCTGTTACATAAAACTAAATAAATGAAAACCAGCTCACTTAAAGGAGAACAATCTGCAGAAGAACAGACTGTATTATACAATTGTACAATGTATGTACAATGTATGAATATATGGAATTTCCAGATCTGCTTTAAAACCATTGCCTTAGCTTTCAAAATATGTCTTCTGAAAACAGTAATAACACAAAATGAGCAATTTTATATTATCATAATACTAAAAGTAGTTCTAGTAAAAGGAACTAAGTACTTCTTGTGATAATTAAGACTAAAATTCAACCTATAAATGGCATTGTATAAACTTTAGTGTGGGAATACAGAGGCACGAAGGGCCTTGGAACATGCCCACTGGTTTAGAGTAAATGTCATGTTAAACAGGAACAAACTTATGTACCAACAGCACCCCTGATAAACTGCATTTTGGGAGTATTTGTTATAGCTCTTCATGCTGTTACAATAGCTGTATTTTTTTTAAATTTATACAATTTTGGTGAATTCCAGTACTGTACTACTAAAGATGATGTCTGATATTTCAAGCACGGCATTTTGTGGGTTGGTACTATGCATTCCATTCCTCAGAGAGCTCCAGTGTAAGTCAAGACTGAAAGGTTTTGTTGTACTCAACATCTGACTGCATAATGTATGTATACTGAATATATATAAATAATACACAACAATAAAAATGGAACTGTACATAGCATAACAAAATATCATACAAAATAGCGTGAGTAGGATTTGACCTCTGTTGCTACTTTTAAAATATTCATAGTCTTTTATATACTTACCATCCTTAGTCAAATTTGCAAATACTCCTTTTGCCTTTGGCCTACTATTTTCTAATTCATTCTCTATTTCATCTTGGTAACTTGATATTTCACCTGTGGCAATTAAACAACAATAAAGCTCAGAAACCATTAATACTGTAAGATGCAGCTAAGTGATATAATGTATTAAATAGGACTTATACCTTCAACATCTTCAAGCTTTTTTGACAGCACTTTCTCAAGCTGAAAAAAAATGAGTAACAATGACATATGAATATGCTATGATTAATTTTTGTAGTATCTGTGCCTCTATTTAGAGACTTGAATACACTTGGTATACAAAAAGGGAGTAAGGTACATTTCTTCCCTTAAAGAGCTTGTAATCCAAGACATACCAGACAGACAAAATAGTATTTGAAATAAAGCATTGATTAAATCTCATTCTCTACCTGACAAAGTAACTTTCACACCAGCACATCTAAAATGAGGCCCCAATTGTCCCCTCTAACCAAACAGCTCAGACATAGCAGAGAGTAACAGCAGGGAGTCAGTTGCAGCTCCCTAATTCTCAGCCATCCAGCCCCAGCAGAAATTGGAGAACCTGGATACCTACTCTAACTCCCATTACCCAGAGTAAAATCCATAATGTAGCTGTAGTGGAGCTCAATTGCTTAGGGGATGGGAGATTTCCCCCACACAAAGGGAAATCTCCTGTAGGTATGGATGGACATAAGCAGTTCAGAGAAAACATGGATCCAAAAACAAAAAAACCCAACCAATCAACCAACCAAAAACAATCCAGCCACTAGAAACCACCCAATGTTAATAATCATTCTATTGTTTCTCAGACTAGTATTTCAGATACCTGTGTTTAAATGCCGGCTCTCTTTTGCTCATAGCCCAGCTAGTTTCTCTTATGAAAATATTACCAAACTCTAACACAGTGGTCCAAAACATTACGTCTTAAAGCAGCAATATTTTGTGCAAACTGTATTTTAATAATAAAAATAGTATTTTATACTAATTGATTATGCAGTTGAGTAATAAACCTGTGATTGTAACAGTATATTAATTTCACTCTAACAGACTAAGTCACAACTTCAATATCAAACAAAAAGATGTGCTAAAAAGCAGCAAACCCCCATTTCAGCTAACTCAGATCTGTGTAAGCCGGAAGAAACTTCATTGTAAAGAGAATTTGACCCTCTCCTTCTCGTTTATTGGAAATTACTTAGATAAATGTGTGATCTAGGTGATGGTGGAAACAAACTTTAAAACGTGTTTGGAGTGATTCTAAGAGGTACTGCATACCCACAGCATAAATGGGTGTTCTTGGTACTCAAGAATTTTGGAGACTGTAGTGTTCAGATTATAATTTTATTTCACTCAAAAATACTCTAAATTAAAAACAAAATATCTGAAAATAAACAAAAAAGAATTTGAAAACTTTGGAGGATTAGCTTTCAACTGTCAACCTTAACCTCATTCTAGCTTCATCATCTATAACTGATATGGTTTAAAAATAAACTAGAACAGATAGATAACATATTCCTCTGTGTAACTATACTAATAAAACCAATCCAGCGCTTATACATACAATATGATGGGGACTAATTTAGCTATAACTACTTAAGAGAGAGAACTTGGAGTCACTGTGGATAGTTCTCCAAAAACATCCACCCAGTGTGCAATGGCAGTCAAAAAAGCAAACAGAATGTTAGGAATCATTAAAAAAAAAAGGGATAGAGAATGAGACAGATAATATTTTATTGTCTCTCTATAAAACCATGGTACACCTACATCTTGAATAGTGTGTGCAGATGTTGTCACCTCATCTCAAAAAAGATGTATTGGCATTGGAAAAGGTTCAGAAAAGGGCAACAAAAATGATCAGAGGTTTGGAACAGGTCCCATATGAAGAGAAATTTAAAAGACTTGGATTTTTCTGCTTAGAAAAAAGGAGACTAAGGGGGGGATATGATAGAGGTCTATAAAAACATGACTGGTGTGGAAAAAGTGAGTAAGAAAAAGTTATTTACTTATTCCCACACTATAAGAACTAGGTGTCACCAAATGAAATTAATAGGCAGAAGATTTAAAACAAACAAAAGGAAATTTTTCTTCACATAGTACAGTCAACCTGTGGAACTCCTTGCCAGAGGATATTATGAAGACCAGAACTTTAACAGGGTTCAAAAAAGAGCTAGATAAATTCATGGAGGCTAGGTCAAACAATGGCTATTAGCCAGGATGGGTAGGAATGTTGTTCCTAGCCTCCGTCTGGAAATGGATGACAGGAGAGGGATCGCATGATGATTACGTGCTGTGTTCACTCCCTCTGGGGCATCTGGCATTGGCCACTGTCAGAAGACAGGATACTGGCCTAAATGGACCTTTGGTCTCACCCAGTCTGGATCTTCTTATGTTCTTATGATTATGAGCTGGCTATTCCTCAAAAAGCTATGTTCTATTTCATGGCAACTTTTAATGGAACCTCCTCTTGTTCTCCACCAGTGTTCCCTCTAAGATTTTCCATCTTTTGGTGGGTTGAATTTTCTTTTGGATGGGTTGAAATTTCTTATGTGCAACACCAATATTGAGGTAGTGTGTGGATGTGCACCCACCAGTACCAACAAAAACCGTAGATATAAATATATATTTTAAATAGTCCATTGGTGTGAAAGAAAAATATTAAAACAAGGGATAATTAACAAGGAGCAATGCTTATGATTATTTAATACGAAATCCAGTAAAAAGAAAATTAACACTACACTTGGCTGAAGAAGTGGGCTGTGCCCACAAAAGCTCATGATACTATTTATATAGACTAACAAAAATAAGGTGTTACAGGACTATTGGGCTTTTTTTTTTTAGTTATAGACTTACATGGCTACCCTCTGAGACCCCGAAGTACAAGCATCATCCTTTCTAACAGACAGATGCATGTTTCAGAGATCTTGCAAATACAGTTTCATCCTACAAAACACCTAGTACTTGCTGCTTCTCACTCATAAGAGCTAGAATTCTACCAGATAGCAAAGATCTGGCCTTAATGCAATACAGTTTACCATGTATTAACCAGTAACACAGGATTTTAAAAAATCATTAAGATCAGAGTTTTAGATATCTGCAAAACTCAAAAAAATTCTGTTAAAAGAATCTTTTTCTTTCTTACCTTATGCCATTAACACAGAGGTAGGCCACTCCAAGAATTTGGTAAGTGGTCGAGGGCAGCACTCTTTCATCACATTAATGGAGAAGGTGGGGGAGTCTGGGATGGAGGTTAGGGGTAAGTGATTGGGGCGTGGGATTTGGGAGGGAGTTTGAGTGAAGTAGGGGATCATGACCTGGGGCAATGGACTGGGGTGAGGAGGGGATACAGGGCCTGGGAAGGCGCTGCTGCTTGGGGCACAGGGTTGGGGGGGGCACAGGGATTTGGGCTGTGACCAGGAATAATGAATTGGGGTGCAAGGTCTGAGAGGGGGGTGTGACTTGAGGAGGAGTGTAGGAGGGGATGCAGTATCTGGGAAGGTATATAGGTGCTGGAGCAGGGGTGCAAAAGGTTTGGGTTACATGGGGTGGGAGGACAGAAGGAGGGCAGAGGTTTGGTGGGAAGGATGGGGGCTGGGGTACCAGAGATAGGCTCTGGCTGGAAGACCTTACCTGGCTCTATGCCAGAAGACCGGCAGGTTCTTTAGCCAGGGGCCCTGCCTTCCAGCCCCGGTACGTGCTCAAGGGAGCCGCAGGAGCCATGTCTTTTGTTCTAAACTGAATGCTGTGAGCCCAGGGGATGAGGGAGATGGGGCACTTCACATGCTGTCTGTTCTGCAAACAGGCAGCTGCTATTGGTCGAAACTGGCGAATAGGCGTTACTGAGAAGCCTGTTGCCCCTCCCTCCACATGCTCACACGTGGCACACAGGTAGTCCTGCATCCAGGTTTCTGGAGTGCCAAGTGAGTGCAGGGCAGGCAGGGAGCTGGCTGAGGCTCTGGCAGCTGGATCCTGCCTGCAGATCATCTTTTGCCCAGCCCTGGAGAACAGGCTGAAACCAACTTCTGCTGCTCCTGCTCCTACAAGAGGGCAAATGCCTAGGGTTGCCAGGTGTCTGGTTTTGAACTGGACAGTCCGGTATTTGAGCTTTCTGTCCGGGAAACAAATTGAGAAAATACTGGACATATAAACGTCGAGTATTTTCTAATTAAATAAGTTTTACTGCCTGAGCGTGTCTACTAGCCAGGCAGTATGCAACTACATAGTAGAAAGGAGAGGGGTGGGAGTGGGAGTGGGGCCACAGCAGGATGGAATCACCAGGGCCGGACTCGTCCGTGCGCCCCGTCAGGACTGTGCACAGGACAGGCAGCACCCTGGGAATCACCCAGGCCAGCCCCGCTCCCCACCGGCCAGTCCTTCCCAGCCAGTTCCACTCCCCTCGACCCCCTTCTGGCCAGCCCTGCTCCCCGCTGGCCGGTTCCCCCCCGGGCAGCCCTGCTCCCTGAGCTCTGCTCCCCGCTGGCCCATTCTCTCCCCCAGCTTCCTCCCGGCCAGCCCTGCTCCCCCCGGCCCCCTCCCAGCCAGTTCTCCGACCTCCTCCCGGCCAGCCCCGTTCCCCTCCCGGCTGGTCCCCACCCCCATCTGAGATCAAGTGTGTCCAGTATTTTTTTGAAATCATCTGGTAACCCTACAAGTGCCGCGCACCTCCATTCCCCTGCTGAGCTCCCTGCCTGTGCAGGGAGCTCTGAACATCTGTGTGGGGCTCAGAAAAGGGCTGTTCACCCATGCAAGTGCACAGCTTGCAGGGAACCTTGGTCTCCACATGTGAGCAAATACACTCCTCCCTAAACAGGCACACTATTTCAGTACTAACAGTGCAGACAAATAGCAGAAATCTGCACACACAAAGCCCAGATGACTATAGTAATTAGAACCTACCACCAATACTGCATGCAGAAGCTATCACAGAAAACAAAAACCCACATATGTGCAAGGGCAAGAAGAGAGGTGGAGACTGATGTCTAAAACATATCTACCAAGATTCTGAATAAGGTCCTCAAAGCACATCATAACACCACCAATATCAAGGAAGTTCGCTTTCAATCATAACAACTTGAAACAACATTTAGAACCATTACAGAATATTTTCTTCTAAAACAACTGTATAATCAGCGTTCCTCAAATGAATTAAGCAACACGTGAAACCAGCCTTTCAAGTACTGCATACTGTATCACAAAACAAATGCTATGCATAAAGGCCTATTTGCATACAAAATCTGTATCCGCATTTCCATCCACAAAAACGAGCTGTGGATAGCCGCATTCATATCCATGGATATGGATGCGGATACCTACGGATATCTGAAATTTGCAGTGTTCTAAATACAAAATTTGAATCTGCATCCACATCTGTATCTGCAATAATGAGCCGCTGATATCCACAACAGCAGATGCAGGTATCTGTGCATTTGCAGGGTTCTAGCTATGCAATTTAATTAGTATTACTGCCAATATTTATTTTTACATAACACAAGTTAGAAACAAAATGTTAAGCAATGACATATTTCTCATCCAAGAGTATCTCCAGCAATAGCACTTGCAAGATTTTTTGATCCAATTAACAAGCAACTACTTTTCCAGATATGAACTTTACTAAGTAGGGTAGAAGAGACAATTTAGCATGAGAAAAGGAAAAATATTGGACAAATCCTTAAGGTTTACAAGCAACAAAATCAGCTTATCTGGTCATATGAGAGGTCACAATTTTGTAAGGAAAAGGTCTTGACAGTAGTGCAAAGTGATGAGCACAGTGAAAAGACTCAAGCAGAGCAGGTAGGCAAGAAGCAACTAACTAAATGTAGTTAAGAGAATCACGTGGTTTGCGTGCCAAATCTCCATTCTAAGCATAGTTCTGAACCATGCTCCAAATGAAGATCTGGTATCCATGTCAGAATTGTCTTCCTAATGGGGATAAAGACTGGATATGGGGCACAGAGATCCAAAACCATATCATCAAAATTAGATGCTCAACAGTAAACTTCTTGTGAAAATAAGTATTTCTGCTAAGAACAGGAGTACAGCTGTTGTCATGCTCGAGGTCCCTTCCAGTCCTAGTATTCTATGATTCTATGATTGATTCTATGCTACTTGATCACCAACTGCCTTTGATTTTCACTGAGCTGAATACTACTATTAATATTACTACTACTGAAAGGTACTTGGATGAGTCTAGTTCTCAGGAGGAGTAAGGGAAAACTGCATAGAAGAAATCTTACACATTTTAATGTGTGGTTGGTTTTCATGTGTGCCCATCACCCAGCAAGTACATAAAAAAATTATAATTTTGTTTGCGAATGCTTCCGCCTATGCCTCCCACTCTCCCCATGAGAATGTGATGGTAGAGGCAGCAATAGCTAAGGCTAAACTGATCCATCATGACATTGCACACTATTATGTCCAAAGTTAAAAACAAACAGAAACACAAGCAGCTCCAAGTGCAAAGTACTGACAGAATTCACCTCCTGTATCTTTAATTTTCTTTGACCAGCAGTAAATGAAGGAGGATCACACTCCTCTTCCAAGTCAATCTTCATAAATTCATCGATAGTTAGCTGACTTGTTGGTGTGTCTTCAAATTCCGTAAGCCTAATATATACATAAAATCAAAAACACAATATATTATTGTACTACCTGTTAGAATATTCCTTTTTTTTAAAAAAGCAGTTTTACAAAAGTTGACAAACTGCTGAATTAAAGAATAAGCATGCCATCCCGAGAGACTGACTCAAACAAAACAAAATCCCAAACAAAACAAACAAAAAGCAGCTCTTACATAACAACTTTTCAAAAATAATTATCCCCATTCTATAGATAGTGAATCTGAGGCACAAGACAGTAAAATAACTTTACCCAGGTCACCCAGCAGATCAGTGACAGAACTGGGACTAGCTCTCAGGTCTACTGAATCCCAATCAAGTACCCTAAACACTAGGCTACACAAAAATCAAAATTATTTCAATGTTCTCATCTGCTCCTAAATATTCATACATCCAACAAAACTGCCTTTGCTTAGTTACAGTATGTAAGAAAAGTATGTTTTTGCCAGAGAGAGATTCTGAACTAGAACAGTACAATCACTCCAAGTGATAAACTGGAAAAACCACATGGAAAAATAAATACAGGTACCACTTTCTGGCTGCCATAAGTCACGGTTACCAATCTCAACAAATATAAATTCAACACATTTCAAACTAAAATATGTATTTATCATTATAGCATAGGAGTAAGTTTAAAATTCTTCCTAGCATATTAACACTGCTGTTAATTTATACAAAGCAAGACTACAAATAATACAATTTCAACATATCTGAAACAATTCTTCATCTCAAAGGCTGTGTCTAGGCTACATGCCTCTGTCGTCAGAGGCATGTAGATTAGACACATAGACAAAGGCAAATGAAGCCGCGATTTAAATAAATTTACATGGCTGCCGCGCTGAGCCAACAAACAGCTAATCAGCTGTTTGTGCCGACATCAAAGCCCTTTGTCGGCAGCCCCATTATTCCTCGTGGGATGAGGTTTACCGGGGCTGCTGACAAAGGGCTTTGATGTCGGCAGGGTAGCGTCCAGACTAGCATGCTGAGCCGACAAACAGCGATCAGCTGTTTGTCAGCTCAGCGCGGCAGCCAAGTAAATTTAAATGAAGCCGCGATCATTTAAATCGCGGCTTCATTTGCCTTTGTCAAAACAACAAATCTACATGGCTCCGTCGACAGAGCCATGTAGTTTAGACGTACCCAAACAGAAGACAGACTGCAATGGAGAAAAGGGGTAATTTGTGCGCTGACTATATGATTGATATGTGTGTGTGTGTATGAATGAATATTTGTATATTTATATAGTAAATATAATTAGCACTCATTCAGTGGTTGCATTTTAAAAATAACTACATTAAGTATACAGAATCTCTCAGAAATGGCAGAATCTTTCAAAAGAAAATAAAATTAAACGGGGCCAAACTGTTGCATTTTCATCCATAAATCTCAACATTTAGTTGTTAAGCACTACTACAGCCATCCTGCAGATGGAGAAACTGTGACAGTAGTAAAGTGAAGAGCTGGTGGGAGATTTCCATTGGAATGATTTGGGGAGAGGCGCAGAGGTGGGGGTGGGGGGGGACAGAAAAAGGTCTTTTCACAAAACTGAGATTCTCCATAGGAAAATTTCAAACTTTGCCAAAGAAATCTGATGCTCCTTTAGGAAGCATTTCATTTGTGAATTCAAAATGACAGCTCTCCAGCTGAACACCCAAAGACTCGTCAGTGGGAGAAGATGAAACCGACAAGTGCCTTCCATGCGTGCAGGCAGCACGCCTAAAAGTATTGTTTCAGTTCTCTTGAAATGGAATCTTTCAGAATTTGTTCAAGGAAAAATGTCCAGATTGTCACTTGTTGTGCTGAACAGGGATGAACATTTTTCCAAAACCAGAAAATGTTTCACAGCTCAGTAATTCCATTTTTTAGACAACTCTAGGTAAGTGAGCTAGATGTAGTATGCACCTTTTTGGCCAGGCATGGTGATGTGGACAGGTAGAGGCACAGCTGCTAGAAAAAGAGTTCAGCAAGGGAGGTCTTTGGTTATGGTCTCTATTATTACTCATCAATATTATGCCCCTCAGGATGTCATATTTGTCCTTCATGAGCTGTAGCTTGAGTTCAGTGGTCTCCCATCTCGGTTGATTGGCCCTAGCTTGTCTCTGCTCTCTTTGTTGCTTTTTTCTCTGACTGACTTGTTGAGTGACCAATAAATCCTTCAACAGATCATCATACATCCTTGGATTATTTTTCCCTCAGTTGCCATACCTTCTCTGATGGTGTAAAAGTCAGCTGAGTCCTCAGTCTAGTCAGCAAAAGTAACCATTAACAATAGAGTGACTGTATTTTTCATGATAAAGTTTGTGACATTTCACAAACATGCATGCCTCTGGATGCACCTGGAAGCAAACACAGATCTCTGCAGCCTCTGTGATCATGCTGAGTTTTAAAAAAGTAGGAGGAAAATGTGTGTGGAGGGGGAGATTCCTCAAGAAAGTACGGATCACAGTTGTGTAGCAGTTGCTCAAGGAAACAATTTTTGCTAATCCTACACTTGTCAACAGGCTGCAATCACTCCCTGCTGAAGGTTAACAATCAAACCCAGGCTGAGCTTTTGGAGGCGAGTTGGGGGGGAGGGGCCTCCCCTGCCCTTATGCAGCCAAACTATGTGATGCCTTGGTTCTGGCAGCATATATTGAGGGCTGGTTTGAGAAAGTGTCCTATCATGGGAGCAGGGCAACAGCAGCCCTGCCATGGAATCTCTGTGACAAAATTAATAAGTACATCAAGTGAATCTTTGACACCATTTCCCAGGAAGATTTGATTGCTATCTGTGCACAAATCAATGCTGTGTTTGACCATAAGACAGACCCAGCAAGTGAAATAGAGCCTCTGGTTGTCCCTTACTGCCACTCCTACTCCCCGACTGCATAGTGCAACTTTCCGCTCCTCACAGATGCAAATGGTCACTACCTGCTCAGTCCCCAGCCCTGGGTCTCTGCACAGCAACTACTCACTATGGCACCACCTCCATACCTCCCCACATGGCCACAGCCTGCTCAGTTCCCAATCCCACCTGCCTGCACAGCAACATGTCCCTTTGGTTGCTTCAATACAGAGTGTCTCTTCCACGATGAGTTGCTGAACATCCTTATAATCATCATTTGGGAACAGTGCCTCGCTGCCAGGTGTAGAGGTTTTCACCGGATTGACCCTCACACCTCCTTGCCCTCTTCAATCTCTTCTATGTGTGTCTGTGTATCCAGGACAAATATTTCTGGCTCTTTTCTCTTTTGAGAATTATCCACAATGTGCCACGGTTTGATTGTGGGGTCCCTACCCAGAATTCCATCCACTTCTTTATAAAACCAGCATGTTTTGGGTGCAGCACCAGACCAGCTGTTTGCCTCCTTTGCGTTGTGGGAGGCCTGCATTGTTGGGTGTCTCACTCATACCCCTTGGCATACAGGGCTAAGAAATGTCACCGTATGTGTCCCAGTTCTAACAGCTCACTTGCAGCTCCAATTGCACTGAATCTTCACCCCCCCATGCACGAATTAGATTCAAGAGCTCTGCATTACTCCAAGCTGGAGAGGGTTTGGATTAACAACCACAGACACAGAAACCGGACTTAAATTTCGTAAGGTTTGCAGGTGGTTGGCGAGCATCTCTTTTCCTGTAAACATTACGTGGTTGAAGGGCAGCCACGTTAAAGGTGATGTCCAGAGTGGCTAAATGGGGCATTGTGGGATTGTGGATTCCAATAAACTTGACAAAAAACCTACCTAGTACACACTGTGTGACTGTCGACAGCGCCAAGACAAAAGTCCCTCATGGGGCTGCAACCTTTTCGGTGCCGTGAACAGCCATATGTCATGACATTTATCACACTAATGTGGAGGTTTTTGTCATCGAAAGGCAGGTTTTGGCAACAAACTTCCCATTGTAGACAAGGCACTAACAACAAGACCAGCCATCCTCTTGTGGGTAACTTATACATGACCCATTCTATCAAAGCCTGAAAAGTGTTCATAAATTCTTGTGTCCACATATATTTGTACCCACGCCTTTAATCTTGCAATCAGTTACACATGGGTGCACCCTGCACCTGCATGGAACTTGCAGGATCAGGTCCACAGTAAATGTGTAGTGTGAAAAAGAGGAAGCTATTATGTATTGCACACATTGTATGTGCACAGATACTACTTTTAGCTGGACATAAATAATTCCTATCTCCAGCTGTGCTTTAATTACCTGCCATTCAATTTACGTACAAAAAAAACAGTCTTTCACCAAATTTGTTGGTGTTTGAAATGTGCCTAAGAGACCACAAATTGCTAAACACAACAATCTCTACTGCAAAACACACGGCAGCATTAATTCTGCAGTTAAGAAATACTGATGCAACCTCAACTGTTGCATTTTAATTTCAATGGTGTACGAAATTCAGTGATAATAAAATGTATTTCCTAGATGAAATTTTACATTAAAAAAAAAAATCTCACTTTCAATTTGTACTTTTTATCTTAAAAAAATTGAAGGGAGTGACCAGTTTTAAGTTATGTGCAAAGAGAAAATAAGTAGATGTACAAATTAAGATATTATTGGCTTTGCACCCAACCAAAAAAGGCACTAATAACTGAAATCTGGCAGAAAATTACTTTCTATTTATAGCCAAAGCAGTAGCAACCACTAGAATTACAGCTGAAATCCAACTTCCAATATAGCCCCCTCCTTTTTTTATGGTTTCTGACAAATTCTCTAAAACAAATTCTTTTAGGGCCAAAATTTTCCAGAGTTTGATCTGTGCCAACAAGCATCCCCTACATACATTTTTTTTTCCTGGAAAAGATACTACAAACCCAGCTGCTCTGTTTTTGTTCAATCCGCATATGTACAAAAATATACTTTTCCTGTGTTTTCAGATCAGGAATGTTGTGCACACAGCTCAACAACATGGGATTTTATTGAGACTTGGATTGGTTTGTGGATCTGACTGAAACAAGGTAAGTTTAAAGGAAACTGGGGAAGCTATCATGCAGTTATGGGCAT